CCCCAAAACCCCAAAACCCCAAAACCCCAAAACCCCAAAACCCCAAAACCCCAGAAGGGTGGAAATATGCTGAAACTGCTTATTTAGTAAAAAGGGGAGAATTTAATATAGTCTATTTGGTAGGTGAGTCCTCTTCCTCTTCTTCCTGAGCTCCATCTTCCTCGTCTTCTTCCCTAATTATGTCCTTAAGATTGACTTGCTTTAGAATGTCTTTTAGCTCAGAGCTATCTGTCCTTTCATTAAAAACCAGTTCAAATTTATTATCTGAGAAGTTAGGGATAGGATTCCTCCTAGAGGCATTCCATTCAGGAGCTGGGAACACTGGATCAATAGCGATCTCTCACATGTTCTCTATTAAACTAGGTATCAGCCTAGCTAGATAATTTGATGCTAGTTCAAGGCATGGATTAGTGTTTACTTCGATCATCCATACTTTCTGGTTCTCATCAACCATGAAATCGTATCCAAAGAGTTCAAAAGAATGGTGTCTCCGATGCTTATCAATCTGTATATACGTTGCTTTTATCGAGTCAGTAGCCAGCCGCTTCATTTGCGGGTATATCTTTCCCTCAAAATCGATCTTCCAGTCAGGATGGACATTATCAAAATGTTTTTGGAACTCCTTGTAATTTAGCTTGTTTCCATCTTCAAATTTTCCGTAAACATCACACTTATTTCTGAATAGCATCATTAGTGAGATGGATGTACTTGTTAGACACATTTTTGAGCGAGAACTCTCGACTGGCAGTCCTGATATACCCCTCTTTATACCAGTAACCTCATAAGTTACCATTTATAGAGGTTATCAGAGCAAATCATCTGATGTCAAATTTCCTCTTGTTTATCAGCAAAGGTCTTTCAAGATATTTTTGGACAATGTAGCTCCTGTACTGATTATTTCTGAGTTGAACCTTAGTCTCAATTAAGCTCTTGATCTGGCTAAACTCCCTTCAAACAGTGATACCTGAACCTCGGTTAGTATTTTCACCAGGCTTGATAATCCAGATATTGTGTGGTTTGGGCTTACTGGTGCCAGATTCAATTTCTTCCTCAATATGATCAAATTCTGCCTGGAATTTCAAGAATTCATCACTGCAGACTCCATCCTTAATATGGAATGTCTGAGGAATATAATCAAAAGGATTCTCTTCCAGTGATTCATAATAAGTCTTCATATTGTAATACAAGGCCTTCTTGTTTGATAAATGTATATGGAACTCCAAATGGTTCGATAGACAAGTCGAATCACACTGCATTGGCGGTTTAGGCAGCTTCTGTCCACCCCTTCTTCTTGCGATAGTATATTCAGGTCCAGACTTTGTTCTCACCTTTTCTTTTTGAGCTAACTTATTAGCTCTTTTCTTTGAGGAAGGAGTTGCTGCTGTTTCATCTCCACTTTCGTTGGTCTTAGTGCCTTCAATATCAGAGTCTGTCCCTTTCACACTCTCTGCAGCTTTCAATGGTGACGAATGTTTAACCACTCATGCTTCAGTATGCTTCTTTAGTTGTGACACAAATTTCTTATTCTTCAGTTGTGTCCAAAGGAAGTTATACCCGGAGTCCTTCATTTTGACTTTGGACCACCACCATCTGGAGGATAAGGCATTGTGGACAAGAATTGAGTTATTTCCGAATCCAATTGCATACTTGAGAACCCTTCAATTTCCAGTCGGGTTGGGTGGAAGTCCATTTATAATCTGCTGTTTATTTTACATTATCTCTGTATTTCTTCAGCTTATACTCGAAGATGTCTTCAGGCTCCTTCTTCATATACTTCATGAACGATCTTTTGGGACCCTGGTTCTTTTCATCATTGTTAGAGTGGGTCTTCTTGGGCCTAAAGAAAGCAGGCTGCTTCTTGATAGGTTTCAACTTTAGAGCCACCTCATTTGCACTTGGAAAAATGGAGCGAATGGAGGTACTTTTTAAAGGCTGTATTGGATATTCTATAAGCTTCTTGACTGTTTCTATAAGATCTTTGGTTCCGATATCAAACCTTGTCTTTATAGTCTGGACTACCATGTAGGTAATGACTCAGATATAACAATCTTTGTCCCATTTATTATTCATAGAAGTGCATTCATCCACTACCTCCTTAGCCAAATCTCTGGTTGACATCTTCTGGAGTTCCAAGAGGATGAAGATTATTGCTTTGTGATGAGGGTTTAACTTCTTTAGACCTAGTAAGGACTCTTTGCTAATTTTATACCCGTCTACCAGAATTTCCTCTGGTCCAAAAATTTCATCATAAGTGTTAAAAGTTGTATTCATATGATTTCTGTTCTTATACCTTCCTTTAGTAGCTTTATTAGGAGGTTTTTCTCCAAACCTAGGATCATGAAACAGTCTCAGAATTAGGTCTTTTAAGGACTTTAATTCGTTCTTTTCGTCATAATTGTCCCCATCAGCCCACAAGAGGTCAGAATTGGCATCCTTTTCATGCTTTTGCTCCTCATATCGGATATTACTAAAAGAGCTATTATTGAAAACAGCATTGCTATTATGGTTACAGTTCGGATTCTTATTAACAATCTTCCTCTTAAGCACTTTGGATTGGCTCTTTTCCTTCTTAGTCATAGGCTTCTGAGTATCTTGATACGAAGTAACCATCCATTGGATTCTTCTATGGCATGGACAGAGTATTGGCACTTTTAAGCTCTTAAGGTAAGCAATCCATGGCTTTTCATCCTCATCAGCTTCCATTGCTGCTTCAGCCTAGAAGGATTAGAATTCAAAGATTACAGGGCTAGAGTTCTTCTTATTGTCGGAATTCTCGATCCTTTTAAGAGATCGAGGAGTGGTACATTCAGATTTGGGCTTATTATCTACCTTATTCGGAGTGAACCTCTTTTCACCGATCCTATTGATTTCAATGAAAGAGTTCTCCTTAGTCCGACTTATCTTTTTGGATTTTAGATTTTTAGATTTTCTTCTCCTAATAGAAGGAATATCCTCAGTCATATGATGTGAGAGGTCTATTTGGTTTTCATTAATCTTGATGCTATCAACATCTTGAGTTTTACCATAGTCATCATCAAGATCTATTCTCCTGTTTTGTCTAAAGTATGATTTCAAGAGATTACTGTGTGTCTTCAGTAGAGGTTTTATTGCCCATTGCCTTCATATCCTTAGCCTTTCTTGATAAAGTCAGAAACCTTACATCGCTCTTGAGTGATTGGGATTGTATAATTCCAGAGGTGTAGCTTTTATCTTGACTAATCTTGCTCTTCATTGTTTGTTGGCAATTCTTGGCATGATCACTTCTGACTAAATGGTTACTAGCTGCTCTTACTTCTATTTCTCTTACTGTGAGAATCATCAACAGACAGATTATCCCTTTCAGCTATGAAGGAGTTAGATTCTAATAATTCAGCTTTAAAAATGTCATAAAATTATTGATGCTTTTCAGAGATCAGAATTATGAAAAAATTACTTTGATCGACAAAATAAGAGGACTGCTTAGAATATCTTTGACTGCCCTCTTTAAAACCCCTACAGTTTACGATTCTTTTCTTCTCTGAGACAGTCAGGTTCTTGGAGTACCCATTCCTTGAGTTCACTAAAGCGTCATTCAAGGTAGCCTTACCTCTCTCAATGGAGTTAGGGAGTGACTCCATCCTCAGGATTTTCGCTTCTTTATCATAATGGAAATAATTGTTATTTTTCTGAAGTAGTTTCAAATCCGTATTCTCCCTTGTTCTTAATCCTTTGGCTATATTTATATGTAATACAGCTAGAATAGAGGAAGGGCTTACATTTTCTCGATAGATCTCCTCTGGAAGTTAGAAGCCTTCCGGTGCTTCTCAACTTGTCCTGGCCTAAACATGATATCAGAGTCTGTTATTCGTAAGAAACAGAGAAATGCCAAGAAATGTAGCTCAAATTTCTTACTTCCCCTTCCTGCTGGAAGTGAAGGTGTGTATATGAGGAAGCGCAAGACTTCCTTTGGTTTGTGGCTTATTGAAGACCCCATCATAATTAGCATAATCTCTCTTGAATTTGTTATATTTATCCTTCAAGCTAAACATGTATGTCATCTTGTTCAAGTTAAATAAAATTTATAATTATAGAGCCCAACTTACAAGTTTTCCTGGGGTTTTGGGGTTTTGGGGTTTTGGGGTTTTGGGGTTTGGGGGTTTTGGGG